TCAAAGCCAGAAAACACAAAGAAGACAGCAGTGCCAGCAGCTTCAACATAGTCGACCTGGGGCCGGCCCGGTGGCGCACTGCTATATAGTGCGCCGCTTGGGAAGCGCGGTGGCGCTCCTGCCGAGGGTTCGGATCCCGCATACAGACTGGCCGCTCACTGGCTGAGCAAGGGGCGGGAGCAACACCGAGGGTTGCGATCCCGTGGCTGGTCCCGGTCCGGTACGGGCACGACACTGAGGGTTCAAAGAAGACAGCAGTGCCAGCAGCTTCAACATAGTCGACCTGGGAGCAGGCTTGAGACAACTCCCTTTTCTACTAGCAGAAAGGAACCTTCGGAAGAGACTCCACAGAAACCCTAGTTCTGTCCTGGGGAAGATGCAACCAGGACAGAGAACTTCTTTTATGTGGTTCCATATATATATGATCTATGCATTTGTCTAATGTGCCCTACCAGATTGTAAACTTCTTGGAGGCCACAGCAATGTCACTTTTGTATCATCCAAAATCAAGCATGATCCTGATACATAACAGGTGATAAATGAATATGGAATAAATACATAAATTCTGGCATAACTCTGATGTAATCCAATAAATTAAGCAAGATTAATGGAAGGATATTTGCCACCCCACCCCATTCCTGTCCCCCACCCTACCCCCCGCTGTGAATATGACTTTGCCGCAGGGTGAAGATAAGAATCATACCTCTTTTGGGAAGAAATATGGTAATATATATATATATATATATATTTTTTTTTTTTTTTTGTCTTTTGTCTTTTTTCCGTGTCCGGCAACGGATCGCAANTTAACTCATTTCTCAGAATCTGTCCTAACTAAATAATCCAAAAGATATTTGCACAAAAATCTTCATTTAATTATTTCTTAAACTAACAAAACTCTGGAAGTATTCTACATTCTAGAAATAGAGAAATTATAATATAATTAATGGTATAGCTGCTCAATAGAATACTATACAGATATTAACATGGTAATTATCCATTCCATGTAGCAAAATTTAAAATGTTAATGATATGGTATCAAGCATTTTTAAGTGGGAAAAATGATTTCACAGCAGTTGTTACATCGGGCTTTTCCAGGGGACAAGGAACAAAGTTACAGTCCTTTGTTGGCAAGGGATTAACAGAACAACACGCAGGGAAATAGGAAGACAGGGCACAATGGCATCTGCAGCTAAGTTAAGCAATGCAGAGAATAAAACATTGTTTGGGGCCTGGAGGTTATTCAAGCTGTCACCTCATCATGCTGTATACCCTCAGCACTGGGTGGCTGGGCCCCCCCCTGTGTGCTCTGCCATTGTGCTGTGCCAGCCCCTCACTGTCTTTGTTTCTATAGCTCAGTTTGTTTTTCTCTCTACCTCAAGTAAGCCTCCGCTTAACTCATGACTCCCAACACTTTGTGACTTCTATCACCCAACAGCTTCTGCATAGTGATTTCTGCTTGCCCCCAATTTTCTGTGTTTCACATTTAAACTCCCCAAGAAATGGGAACTCATTGCTTCAATTAGTCACAGCTATCCCTGTAATCAGAGCTCTCAGACCAGGCCACCTTAGAGTTCCACTGGTCAACACGTGTATTCGCTGTGCTGCTATCGGGTGCCCAAACCTGATCCAATCAGCTCTGTATGTCAAACAGTATGAATGCTGCAGATACTTCCAGCACAGCAACCACCTCTCCAATATGGTTATGGTTTTGAACAATGCTTAAAGTAATACAAATAAAAATTTATACATGAAAACAGATAGGAAAAGGATGAATTAAAGCCATCGTAGTTGTGTTAGGGTGGAGGGATTACAGGTGATTCTTTTTCTCCACTTTGCAAATGTGCTTTAATGATACTGTAATTGCTTTTTAGTTTTGAGTGTTTTTAAAATAGTAATCTCCCCAAGCGGTAGGAGTTATGCAACCAAGCTATTCAGTTCAGT